TTTTCCTGGGTGGATGGAAGACACATTCCTTATTTCTAAAGCTGAAGGAATCTTGATGAGCTCCTGATTAGTTGCCTCAGAAATGGAAGGAGAGAGGGCTTCCGAAACAGTAGCTTCTAGGTCTTCACAAACACTTCTAGGGGAGGAAAACAAATCTTGATAGTAAGCAGAGATTACCTCAGCAATCTGATTTTCTTCAAAGACAGCAACCCCTGCAGCATTCTCTAACACAAAGAACTTGTTTATCGCTCTTCTGCCTCTAGTGGTTGCATGAAAGTAACCCGTATTACGGTCCCTAAGGCAGAGCCACAACTGTCTGCTCCTTTGCTTCCAAAAGGCCTCTTCCGCCGAATAAGCAGCTTTGAGAGAGCTATTAATTTCTCTAAAAGCTGAGAATCATTAACCGGGCTGACCATTGCTTCCTCTAACTCTTTCCTGAGAATATCAATAGCAATCTGACTATTTCTGAACTTCTCTCTGTTCCACTTCACCAGAGCCTGTCTACACTTGATAATCCTTTGCTGCACAGAACTGAGCTCCTCCTCTGACCAAGTATCTTTAATCAAACATTTCACTTCCTCATTATCTTCAAGTCTTCTATCATACCTGAATAAACCTTTCTTCTTCTTAGAATTCAGGTTGAAATGAGAGATAAGGGGGCGATGATCTGATCCTTCAAATCTCAAGTACTGACATCTCCCACTAGGGAACATCTCAGCCCACGCACTGTTACCAATAGCTCTATCCAGACGACAAGTAACAACATGTGTATGTCTTACTCCTCTCCATGACAGAGGATTCCCAGAATACCTTAAATCATACAGATCACACTCAGATAAGAAGGATCTGAAATCCACAAACGACCATTCAGACCTTGGAGGACCACCTTTCTTCTCTAAATTATCCACCAAGTCATTGAAATCACCTGCAAGGTACCAAGGATCTTCCCTAGTAACTGCCAACTCTTTAAGAACTTCCCAAACAGCTTTTCTTTTCCCCTGCTCTGGATATCCATACATAAAGGTTGCAAAAAACCATTTACCCTGAACAGAGATTGAAGTATCCAGGAAATTATCACAAGAAGAAATAATCACAATCTCAACTTCTTGCTTCCAAAAAAGGGCCAAACCACCTCCTCCTTGCCCATGAGGAGGGACAAAAGCACTATGAGCAAAATTCAAACCATCAAAAGCTTTAAGAACCACAGATTCTGGGTTTTTTGTTTCCATAAGAAAAGGATATCAAGAGAAAAATCCTTGCTGATCTCACTGATACGACGAACTGTTATCGGATTACCCAGCCCTTGACAGTTCCAGCATGTAATGTTTAAGGAAGGAGATTGGGAGGAGGCCGAAAATCCTGCCCACCTAGAAGCTCAAGAGAGGAGCTCTGCCCTTGAGCACTTTACGGTGTTGGGACTGAGAGAACTTCAGGTTGAGTTTCCAAAAGAGGATCCATAATCAGCCTTCTGCGAGGGGAAGGGAGCACCTTCAATAACTTTCTCTTCTTTGTTCTTCCAGCTGCCACTAACCGAGGGCTCGGGATAGAAGCTTTCTTGGTAAGAGAGGGACCTGGAGGACGTCCTAAAGGCCTTCCTGGGGGGCGTCCTACCTTCTTCTTTGCAATAGTACGCTTCTTTGGCTTAGGTGGAATAGGAGGAGCATTTAAAGGTCCTACACGCAGAGCCACATGAATTCTGACTGGGCTGAGCTCTAGCACCGAAGAGGACAAAATAGGGGAGTCAGTTGAAGAAGTATTCAAACTGGCTCTCACCATTTGCTCAGCAGTTTCTTCAAATTGACCTTCCTCCTCTGCTCGCCTTACACGCTCTTTCCTGGCTGCACTCTCCAATGGGTCAGCACAGTTAGCATATTGAATCATCACTTCACGAAGCTCACCCATAGCAGTCTCAACTGCAGCTTTCGGGAGATCAGAAGTGAGACCCCTCCCCTGAGAGCCAGACTTCTCTTCAGCTTCACGGCTGTATCTACGCTGGGAAGACCCAACCTCTTTACTTTGACCAGACATACTCCTGGCTCTCTGAGAATCACTGATTCTTAATTTTTCTCTCTCTTTCCTTGAAGGAGACCTAGAGAAGTATCTAGTTCTCGAGCTTCGGGGTTCTCTTCGATCCCTACGATCAGGTGACCGTGACGGAGGGTGATAGGAACGGGACCTGGTCTCCTGATAAGCTGGATAAGGATGTCTAGACTGTGAAGGAACCAATCTACGTCTATCAGCAGGAGGGGAGGACTGGCGCCCCTCTCTATCAGAACTTACTCGTCGGCTGGGGGAGCTGCGGAAGTAATCATTCCTTCTACTATGACGAGGAAGAACTTCTGAATTTCTAAAGTGAGAGTCTTCCTTTCTCCGATAAGAAGGAGGTGGGATGCGAGACCTAGAAACTGGAACTGCAGAAGGAAAATCCTTATCATCATGGTCCAGGCAATGACAGAGTTTGCAAAACTTCTTGAGCCTCTCATAGACTAACTCTGCTTCTAGCTCCTCTCCATCGCGAAATTCGACAATGGAGGTCTTGATTAGTGGCTGAAGACCATTTACCCTAACTCGCATTCTGGCCACAGTCGCAGTGACATCAAGTTCTTCCACCACTCCGATATCATCACCAATACTTTTGATTAGCTCATCGGTCCAAAGGTGAACCGGTATTCCTGTAACTTGGACCCAAAATGGGATCTTCGAGGGAAACGTCCGAGAAATAGTCGGTTCCCATCTCTGAAGTATCACCATATACCCAGAAAAGTGATATGGTCTGCTGCTCAAAACCATTTGAACATCTTCCTCGTTGGCGAATTGAAACTGGAAAAGGCCGTGACCAAGCTCTGCTCCGATAGGTCTGGAAGAAGTTTTCCAGTGCTCTGTAAAGAAGGGAATCAGAGACCAAGTTTTTTGGACCGCCGGATTTGTGAGACGTCCGATAAGGGTGAGCTTGTGACGGAGCAGGAGCTCCGAGTTATCACTGTCGGGGGCTTGGACTCTTGAGACTTTGGGGAGGTTACTCGAGGAAGCAATAGCTTTTCCTTTCTCTTCGTAAGAGATGTGGCGCGACATCGTTGAAGATAAGGCCAGTGATGAGATCGAGATCTGTAGAGGCTGGATCTGAGAAACTCCCAAGACGAGGCTGAGTTTAGGAGAAGAAAACAAATCGAAATCGAAGACGACTGATGACCCGGATCTACGGAAAACCGACGCCGGCGATGCTAGTAACAGACCTAACACCAAGCAAACGACTGTCAAGGCTCGAGGGAGGAGAATCTTGGGGGATCCCGGATGTAGATTGTAAAAATATTTTGTAAAACCTATAAATTAGTTACAAAACTTTTTTAAAAAAATCAAATATCCAATAGATGATAAATAGAGTAACGAATTTTGTGGCGCAAAAAGGATTTTATTACAAAACTATTAACTACCACAAACCCCAAAAATCATATTCCCTTGTTAAATCTCTATATTGAGGCAACAATGCGAGCTTGGTCCGGCACACTCGATAATGATCCATCAAGCTTTAGCTCTCCCTCGTCCAATTCTCACCGGAGGTAAAGTGTGCGTTTTTCATTCTGGGTTTTCGATTCTCTATCTTACTCTACCAAATCGATTCGCGGGCTTGTTGATTTCGGCTACATTTTGCTCGGTCTCGTTCTATCCAATTTGCCTCAAGCGAATTCAAATCTGTGACACATCAATTTGAAAACTGGCCTCTGTTTCAGTAATGCCGTAACGTAGTTTGTGACCTAAAGATTATTCTTTTTAAAATTTGACAGGATTTGGGTCTAATGGTGGAGGTGTGTTTCTGCATCAATGCCGAAGAAAGAACCCTAGAGTTGCATTTTGTGCTTCTGATGATCAAATTGCCAGTTCCAAGTCGAACAAGACAAGGTTCAGTTTTTTAAAATTTAGCTCCTTTTGTGATAGCTTATGTTGATGTGTTTGTTTAAAGCTGAGGTTCTTGAGAAAGTTTCTAACTTTGCATGTAGGTTTAGGATCCATATGAAAGTTTAAAATTCTGCAAATTTATAATCTATGTATCAATGATGTTCCTTAGGAAAGTAGTGGAGCATGTGTGTTTACTCAAAGCCAAAGAGGGTTTATCTGAGGAGGTAGAAAAAGATATGCTTGATTATCTTTACACAACTCAATATCAAATGAGAGGCATTGTTGCTATATCTGTAGGTGAGTGCCCTCATATTATTGATCCCAAAAATCTGTGCGTGTGTTTGTAAAATCAAATTCTATACTTTACTCTCACAGGTTGTATCGGTGATAGAAACATTGAAGATTACACGCACGCTCTCTTCATGCGATTCCAGAGGAAGGAAGACCTTGGCAAGTTCTATGAGAACACTTTCTTCTTGAAAGTTCTCAATGAACATGTTACACCATTCTGCCATGTATGCCTTTACATGTAAACGCCATTACTCTCATTAGCCCTGTCTTCTCATCATCATTATCATCATCTTCTTCTTCTTCTCTGTTTAGATGTTTCGTTTTTGTTTCTGTCGGGTTTTGATGTATCAGGGGCTAACTAATGTGGACTATGAATCAGAGGTTGAAGATGACATCCTTGCAATATTTCGAAAGGGCGAGGTATGATCAACTCATTTCATATTCTGAGTTTTTCTTTCACAAATCGTCCATAGCCTTAGAGCCAATGGGATACTACTATCTAGTGTCAAATAATGTAAACAGACTGAGTTATTTCCCATGGCAGGAGTACAACTACGGCGAAGAGTTTGTTCTTCTGATCACTTTTGCTAAGAACGCTTCCGACAAGAACACTAAAGATGCAATGGATTCTTTTGCACAGCTAACTTCATCTCTTCCATCACTAATTGTCCAATCCACACAAGGTTCCTAAGCCTTTGAAGAAACTACATTTCAGACATTCATAAGATCCACATATAGCAACCTAAAATTGATCTAATCGTCTGCTTAAAATTTTCAATGTCCAGGTTCAAACTTTAACGACAGCAGTAAGGAATTCACTCATGCAGCAGTAGTTCGATTCCGTTCATGTAATCACTTTCTCCAAATTCTTAACATTGTTCCATTCCCCTGTTCTCCTCTTCTCACACTTTCTTATGTCACTTGCTGCAGTTGATGCCATGGAGATTTTGGTCGAGGGCAGAGAGTATAAAGATGTAAGATCTATCATCAACTGGAACCTTGCAACTTAACACTTAATACTACTACTCAAATTTTTGTCACATATGATATAAGTGAGATTGAATAGAGAGACTCTTTTATCTTTCAGATGTGGCGGTCGCAATTTGAGCCGTTTATAGAAAAAGCAGTAGCTCTTCATTTCTCAGTGGATCCTGTTGGTACCGACGTCATGTGAGACATATATCACTAAACATTTCAACTCTACTCGTAAAGATTTGGTTGCAGTGCATTATGAACAAATTAAAATTTTCTCTATGAATCCGAAAATGTTAAATCATTGAGTTTTAAAGACAAAAAGACCTAAATTATTTTAAGATGATAGATAATAGATCTTTCCTAACAAGACAAGCCAACAAAATAAAGATTCAAGCTCTCATTTTCCAGACACGTTCCTTAACACCGAGCTTGCAGCAAACATAGACATCATGTGACGCCTGAACAATCTGATCATCAGAAAGGTTACGAGCTCCCCAGTTACTCCTACATATCTCCTTATCTTTCCTCACTCCTTGGTATCCCAAACACTCCTCCACAATCATCTCAAACGAACATTTCCAGAGCCACGTAGGCAGATAGTCCCTTATGTCGACAAGCCTCCATATCTCCAATCGTTGATGGAATCTCTCTTGGTTATTCCAGACTCCAACAACAGTGATTGTCCGATCTTCCAAGAAACTTCTAAGGATGTCAGGGATGTAGTTACAGTGAGACAACTGGATGATGAGACAGCGGCTGGAGGATCGGAACCAGAACCACCGGGTGTCCATTGGACATCAAGTCCGACAACTAGAGGGTATGAAGAGCGAAGGCGGTTGAAGAAGCGGATGCTGTGGATCCATCGACGTATCGCTGAGGGAGTATGAGTGACCGTGACTATCAAACGTTCTCCAAAGAAATCGACGTGGCGGTGGTGCTCTTCGTTGAAATGGTGCTTTCGTATTATTTTTCTTCTGATCCTAGTCATTTTGAAATCATACTTGAAAAGAAGAAAAGTCTAGATATTGATTTCTTCTTCCCCTTAGGGTTTTACAAAGGCAGAGCATTTGAGATTTTATACACAGAGGAAGGAAGCATGTAGAGAAACCTAAACAGAATGACTAGGATCAGAAGAGAAATAATACGAAAGCACCATCCTGTTTTTATTTTTTATAAACAAAATCGAAATGTTGCTAATCAATTCGAAGTACAGTTATCATCATCCTGTTTTGTCTAGAGTATCAAAGGGCTTAGAATCGGTTCAGTGTCTTCAGTCTTCTCCGTACGAGGTATTGTCACTCATCTCTGTTCTCAGTCTTTTTTTTTTTTTTGTCGCCGCCTTTTGGAGTTTGGACAGTCTCGGTGACCGTTGTGCTTGAGACGACGTCACTTCATTAATGGGCTTATATGTTAACTGGGCCATTTGGCTTCTTTGTTTCATTAGGCCCATATGTCGAAACACTGTCGTTTTCCTTCTCAGCTTCGTTCGATGGTTATGATGAATTTCACAACCAGATTAAAGTTTTATTGTTCTGTTGTCTTTTTGATTGGTTAATTTCAAGCTGAACTCATAATAATATTATTTTCACCTTTTTTTTTGTTTTCTTTGCTAAAAAGGACATCTACTCAGACCCATATATGCGTCAACAAGGCCAGCTTACGAATAAGCAATTATAATATTAACTTGTCCATGCAAGATAGAAAAATGAAAATAAAGTACAAGACAACAATTACATATAAATATTGTTTTTTCTCTCTTACAATAGAGATTGAAGTTTTTGAAAGGGGAACTCTTTTTTTGTTTTCATGCTTCAAAGCCATGAACACATGCCTCATTAATTTTCTTGCATATTCATATCTATCAATCATCTCGAGCTTATTTGTGCTGATGAGATGATGTCTGACTCCGATTTTAAGCCGTTCTTTGAGTTTAATCCTGCATGGAGTTAACAAAATTACATTACCAACATACTTTCCTATAAATTTAGATATTTTCTTCTATATCGACGAATCGAGAGCATGCATAATTTATTAGAATCACCAATTAGACCGGCCGAATCAAGCATATAGAATTGTAAATTTGTATGTATATATATATTTAGAGAGATGACTAGTCGGCCAAAGAAACACATACTTAATTAGATTAGATGTGAGGAATGCTGACTTAACACTAACCGGTCTAGCTGGTAACTCTATAGCTAGTGTGCTAACCATACAACTTTCGAAGAAATATCCACGATCATTAACCGGCCAAGAGAGGCTTAATTAAATGCCAGTACTGAATTAATAACATCTATATATATTCGAAATTATTAATTAGCAAGAACATAACGAATTTTTTTTCACACACACAACAAAGAATGTGTGTTTGGTAGTTTTACCCAAGAACTTGCATCTGTTGTTTTTATGAAACTAATGGCAATAAATTGCAACCAAACGTCTTTACCTCTTAGTGATCACAGTTTTAAGATATGAAAATTCAACATTCAAAATTTTGACAGATATTTGATCAAGAGAGCGCTCACATACCATGATTTTAATGATGATGATGAAGTGGTGAGTCACCCGTGAAGCCATTGAAGCATATAGATTTGATATCTCTCTTTCTCAGCCCATTTTGTCTGCAGTTTCAAAGCTTCATTATCATATAAATCGCTTGTAAATAACAACTTACAGTTTTGGTTTAAATAACAAATTCAAGAAAGCAAAAAGAATATTGTTTATTCGTTTGGTTAGGTGTGTCAGTGTGTGTAAATAAATAATTATAAATATATATGATATATTATAGTGATGACCATGCTTACGAGTGATGAAGAATGATGATGGAGATAATAAAAAAACAGAACATAGAACAACCAGGTTCATTGAACCTGGTTGCATTTTGTGCACCCACAAAGGCGCTATAGGAGGGATAAAACAAGAGAGTGGGTCGAGATTTATTTATAGTTGCGATAATATGTCTCCTTCATTTCTTTTTTATAAACAAAATTCATGCAAATACTTTTACTATATTTATTTTCTCTCGTATTGTAGATTGTTTTTCTTAGTTTAATTTGCATCAAAATTACAGTTGATAATACACATGGACAAAACGTAAATACTTTTTCATGCGTAAAACTAACTCAATATAGTTTTATTTGTTCTATATTGGATCTTTAAATTGTGTGTTTTTCATATAATTAACGTACAAGAAAAAGCACGTGTATGAAAATACTTATGTAATGGGCTTAACTCATTCGAGAATCCAAAATTTTATAGTTAAGAAGTTTCTTGTGCCACTTAAATTTTAGAATGGCTTATAATTCCAGGTCTATTCATTAATCAGATTTTATACTTTTAGTACCGTACATATTATTAAATATTGAAAGTAATAGAAAAAGAATCACTTTAAAGAGTTGGAATTCTGGAAAGATGACCACCTACAATACAGTCAAGTTCAATCAAATGTGATTAAACAAAATGGGCACGTTGTTTAATTCATTACACCCAACTTGTGTTAGGTCTTTTTGTTAGTGCTTCTCTTTCCTATCTTTTTCCATACTTGATCATGTTTCTAGTTGTTTTAGATTTGATGTTACTAGTTAGTTATCTAATTGTTTTTATTAATTAATTCGACCCATTGGATTTTATTAATGCTATAGGAAAACAATGTTAATATGTAACACAGATAAGACTTCAATGATTTTCTTTGTTTTAATTTTTTTTAGCATCGGGTATCTAGATTTCGCCGAAATATCACTAATTTAAAATTAAAATGAGCAAGTTTTTGGTAATAAACACATATAAAACATATGAGCCTTAAGTACGTGTTTACTTTTATGCTCACACCCCTGTTTCGAACTTCTTCATTTAACTAAACTCAAAAAGGAAAAGAAACTTTTTAATTTACATTCGTTATCCATATATTTTATCAGGCGTATATATATTTTAAAAAAACTAGAAAATTCGGGGTCAAATTCCATACATCTTATTAAATTCGAGCTAACTTCGTGTGACCTCTTATAATTTTCGAAAGTACTTTTTAAGTCTCGAACTTATCACGCATATTCATTGAAGTTTTATGTTAAAAGAAAAAGAAAGAAACCAAGATTTAGAGAAAATGAATCTATAAGTGTTTCTAATATCGATCAGTCGCAACACATAAAGGTTACTTCGTACCTTCTCTTTTTTTTTGAGTTAGATCATTTCCATTATTGAAGTTTAAAGTTTAGTTTACAAAATTTTATGTGTTAAAGAAATCTATAGATGGATATTTCGATTAGAAGTTTGAGATTCGACAAGAAAATATGTTAGCATTAACGTCTACGACGACGACAAAAAAAAAAAAATCAAATGAAATCAAAGATAACAGTAAATGTTAACACTTTGAGCGGTTGAGCCGACAAAGCTTCGTGTAAAAAAGTAGATAGTGTATCTGTTCAAAGTTCAAACACAGTTGATCACGTGCCCACCATACCTTACAATTTGCAACCCAATTGGCTTCTTCGGAGATTCTCTCTTATTTTTTTTTTGTCGATCTCTTAGTTTTGTTTTCCTCTTTAAATTTCAACCAAAATTATTAGATTAAATTTTTGATTTACCTTACAGATAATTTCATTATACATCCCAATATTGTCTTTCTAATAGTGGCTCCTTTTTGTATTATTATTAAAGTAAAAGAATAGAGAATATTGCTGATTTGGGCATTTTTTGGCCCAAAAATTTGAGAAATGGAATGAGTATCAGACATTCATGTTTTAGGCATTTCTCGAGTAAATGTTATTACCAATTTACCCTTGTCCTTTGTTCAATCTACTCATTGCTTTTTCTTCTACGACCACAACCGTATTTCTCCGATGACAATTTGATTTTTCCGCCACAACAATTATTGCTTTTTGAAGAAGAAAACTAAACCCTACGATAATATTTAGCAAACCTAAGGGCTCCTATCATAAACACTTATCAAATCAAAACTTCCAATTCATATTTAAATCTAAATCAAATTGAAAATTACATGTTTGCAATTGCCAAATCTTGAAGAAAATCAAGTGAGACAATTGAAGCTTTTGACGGTGATCGCCACCATAATCAATCTGGAGACCACCGTCATCATCGTTACTGGATCTCATCGGAGATTTAATCATCGTCACTACAATCTCGTTCACCGGATCTCATCATTGTCATCACCATCTCATTGACCGGATCAAAATCTTATCCGTGCCCATATCAATATGAATTCCACTCCTCAAATTTCTGGATCAAAAAATCGTAGATCCAAGGTTTGATTTTGATTTTGTGAAAATCTCTTTCCAGATTAGCTCAAAGCTCAAAATTTGATTTTGTGTAGCTAAAAAAAAATTTGGCCGTTCGGGTATCCATTCGGTACTGGTTCAGTTTCAGTTTTTTTGGTTCTACAGTTTATGATCCATTTAGGAACCAAACAATTTTGGTTTGGTTCCGGTCTTTTGGTTATGAAGTTTAGGATCCATTTGAATATTTTTCGGAAATTTTTACTTATTTTTGGATATTTTTGAGTATTTTTTTGAATATTTTAAGTATTTTTATATATTTTCCAAACATTTGTTGGTATTTTTGGGTATTTTTGAATTACATTTGTTATCAGGTGGGTTAAATTGTTATCCAACAAATTTGATATCCGATCTGATAAGAAATTTTCATCATAAATCTTACACCGGATAATTCATATCTTTTTTGGATCGGATCAAAACATATCCAAAATTATGAACCGAATATTCCATATTTAAAAATATAGATATACATATTTAGAAGATTTGGTTAAGATTTAGAAATATAACTCTCCTATCATTTTTGTTTCAACATTTTTAACTGTTTTGAATCATCATTTAATACATAAAATTTTAAAAAAAAATCTCATTTTTTTCCATATATTGGGATTCAAAAATTGTAAAACAGATATTTATATTACCTAATTGATGAAAAAGTGTGTGTTTAACATCCTATATCGGCTAAAATGTTTAGATATTGGTTCAGAATCATATTATAAATAAGATCAAAATAAATCCAAATCCGAATGAACAAGAAATTCAACTTAATAGAATAATAGGCATACAAATTTAAAATTATATATCATTTCATTCGGGTTTTTAGTTTAACTACTTAATTTTATCGGAAATGTTAAATTTTAAACTTTTTAAAATTCATATATTTAAAATCAATAAAAGATTTAAATATTATGAACATTTGAACATATATAAAAAGTTACAATAACACGAGATGGATTATATTGCTAGACGGAGTTATATAACGAGACGAGTTTTTAAGAAGTTTTAAATATTATAATTCATATACTTAAACTCAATAAAAAGTTTATAATATTAAGAACATTTGAACATATATAAAGAGTTAAAATTACACTGGACGGTTATATTGCAGGACGGGGTTATATGACGGGACAAGTTTGAATCAAAAAAATTTAAAACATTATTAATCTGCTACTTCAATACGGGTTAAATCTTTATTTTATTACCTTTTTAACATCACCAATATTCTGCATATCGAATGATCGTGACTAAAGTAAAATTGTAGAAAACAAAATTTGTTTTGTGGTATACCGTTACTTAGTAACAATTGTAAACTATAAAATATAAATGTTTTATAAAATGATAAAATTTGGAAATTTTAATATATAATATATAACCATTAAATTTTAAAAATCACTAATTTTAAAAATAAATCGTCCCGCGGTATACCGCGGGTTAAAATCTAGTGTAGGTTTATTTTTACTACCAATCTTTGAAAAGATTATTGCATTTATATTTTTTAGACTTCTTTTTTGTAACTTCTGGAAAATATTTTCTTATTCTCTGTCTTTAACAAAAAGTTGACTATGTTTTTTCTTAAAATCTTTTGGCATTGCAAATTTTCTTAAAAAATTTATGGGCCTCTCTACTCATAAACCAATTGGTTTTGAGCCTCTCTACTCATTAACCAATTGGCTATGAGTTGGAAGCTGATAACATAAATTATATTGAGTATTCATAATTTCTAAACATTTTGATCACTCGTCACTCGTTCTCACTTCTCAGTGTCTTCGAATCTTCCATTTCATCTTTCGAACACTGTAACAGAAAACGTTCTACCCAAATATATTTGGGCCCTAAATCGATGCTGATAATATTGTATGTAACAAGGCCCATATACAATTATTTGAAGAAACTCGGTGAGAGATTAGTGTTGTGTTGAATTGAATCACATCCACATACACCCAAAAGAAGCCAAATCACGACTCTGTTTACTCATTATTATTATCTCTTGTGCTCTATCATCAATGGCTCCAATCGTACCACTTCACCGTAGTACTCCAAAACCTCCGCTTCCACGAAACAATGCTATTAAACATTTCTTCTTCTCCAATCTCTCATCGAAACCCTCACTTCTTCAACAACCCCATCTCTTATTTCCCTCGCCGATCCAAAACCCATCTCTCAAAATCTCATCTTTTTCCCAAGTTCACTCCTTTATCGAACCAGAGTCTCAAAAACAGAGTCTTGTTCGGAAACAAGAGGTACCCAAATGGAGAAAGGTTTGATTTTAGAGCAAGAGCAATCTCTGGGATAGATTTGGGAAGCTTTGAATCTGTTCTTGAAGCTATTGCTGTCCTCACTACGATCATCGTCGTTCACGAATCAGGTCATTTCCTTGCGGCTTCTCTCCAAGGGATCCATGTGAGTAAATTCGCAATTGGGTTTGGTCCGATTCTAGCTAAGTTTGATTACAACAATGTTGAGTATTCGCTTAGGGCTTTTCCTTTAGGTGGGTTTGTTGGTTTCCCTGATAATGATCCTGACAGTGAGATTCCTATTGACGATGAGAATTTGCTTAAGAACAGACCAACTCTAGATAGATCGATTGTTGTTTCAGCTGGAATTATCGCCAATGTGATCTTTGCTTATGCTATAATCTTTGTTCAAGTGTTATCTGTTGGTTTGCCTGTACAAGAAGCGTTTCCTGGTGTTCTTGTTCCTGAAGTTAAGACCTTTTCTGCTGCTTCTCGTTATGGATTGCTTTCGGGTGATGTAATCATCGCTGTGGACGGTACTGAGCTGTCTAAAACCGGGCCTGACGCTGTTTCCAAGATTGTTGACATTGTCAAAAGAAACCCGAAGAGTGATGTGTTGTTTAGGGTCGAGAGAGGCAATAAAGATTTCGATATTCGGGTTACACCGGATAAGAACTTTGATGGGACGGGGAAGATTGGTGTTCAGTTGTCTCCAAATGTTAGAATCACTAAGGTGAGACCGAGGAACATTCCGGAAACGTTTAGATTCGTGGGAAGGGAGTTTATGGGGCTATCTTCTAATGTTTTGGATGGTCTAAAACAAACGTTCTTCAACTTTTCTCAAACTGCAAGTAAAGTAGCAGGTCCTGTGGCGATTATTGCAGTGGGAGCAGAAGTGGCAAGATCAAATATCGATGGGCTTTACCAATTCGCAGCGTTGCTGAATATCAACCTTGCGGTGATCAATCTCTTGCCGTTACCAGCTCTTGATGGTGGAACTTTGGCATTGATATTATTGGAAGCGGTTAGAGGAGGGAAGAAGCTTCCTGTAGAGGTAGAACAAGGGATAATGTCTTCAGGGATCATGCTTGTGATATTCCTTGGATTGTTTCTCATCGTTAAGGACACACTTAGCCTTGATTTCATCAAAGAAATGTTGTAGTTTTCTCTTTTGCCAAAAGAAAACGTGATTTGAGGAGGAAGAGAGAAACTTTAGTGTGAAGACGTTGAGAGTTTAGATCAAATTTGGTTATCCAACACAAACCCATGATGATGAATTTATGGTACATATTCATGTAATAGTTCTACTCTTGTTATCCATTATAAAAGATGTGTTTGTAAAGAAAACCGTCGAAACAGTTGTGGCGGGTTTACCGGATTTTTAGCTTGGCCACGCAATGGCCCAATGTGATACCAAGTATAAACTGATTGGTGATTCGGTGCAGTGGTTTTTTAAACTCGGGACTCTACCGATAAGATGACCATTCGCTGACCAAATGGCCAAGTCATGAACAAATCGAATGGAAAAAAAGCTAAAGGAACGATGTAACCTTCTCACAAAGAACCTAATATTCTCAATGTAACTTGAAAAACTCAATACCTCATGATTTCCAATCTCAACACGACGTCTAAATTCATCGTCGTCAATTCCTTTGAGCTCTATTCTTCTTAAGCCCCATCTGTTAAAATCGTAAAAGCAAACACTAAATGGCTTACATTTAGATGATTGTAACCATGGATAAACCCCCATAAGCTTGCCGGTATAAATCTCTTCCTTGGACTTTACGTACTTCCCAAGTAAATCTTCACAAGGTAGCACACACGTCATATTCGACCCTTCGTGTTTCTCAGCATCCTCTTGAATCTCATCAACAGCTAATCCTAAACCTAGGATTAAGCTAAATATATATAAATACAAGCCAACAAGACGGGGCTGAAGTTAAAAACATAAGTTTAAGATTTCGGATTTGCGTAAAACTCAAGTTATGTTATGCAAATTTAGGTTTTCCGGAAAAGAAAAAAAGAAAACCAAAGCCCACTAAACAAATATATGACAGTTTTTCAAGTCCTTTCTAATTAGAGGCCCAAAATTTTAGTTTTCTCTTCAGATTTCTAAATAATGGGACGACGTTTTCTTACAAAAGGATTTAATTATTCACATATACTTCTGAAATCAGCAAGCAACGTCTTCTACAAAATTACAAAAACTATAGCCTTTTTTTTTTTTAAAGATAGTGGAAATGTAATGAAGATTTTTTTATTTATTTTATAAACACTATCGGCTGATCGGGTCAGCTCCGGTAGAAACGCACCGAAGTGCTTCAGAGTGGACTTCTCTCCGAAGGGCCACCACACTCTCTGTCCCGAGTTTGGAATGTTTTCCGATTAATGCCAGGGGATAGCTAGATCGCCTTTGCCCCAACCTCAGACACAGATGTGTTTTTTGTTTCCAGCGTAAATCGAATCTGGGTTAGTTCTTTCAAAATTTTCCCCAATTCTCAACCACTACTGGACCACAGCTGTGTGGCATGAAGATATGATATATTGTTGCATCAAAGTAAGAAATTAATTATATAGTATTATGGTCAAATGAAGCTGGATATATATGGAAAGTTATTCAAGGTAAGGCTTCTTAAATTAATGTGAAAGAATCCAATGGATGGGCAAAATCGAGGGAATTATATGACAAGGTACAACTATCCATTAAAAATGTTCAAAAATAATGAATAAACAATAAACCATATTATTTTATTTTAAAATGAAAATCACTAAATAGGTCAAAGTTGGAAATTAATTATTATATGGTCCTATAAAAAATTATTATATTGGTCCGATTGTTTTTTTCAAGTCTCTTGTCTGTATGACGCGCATAATAATTAAATTACTTATAATTAACCAGATTTTTAGTTTAAATTATAATTATTATATGTATGTAAGTTTAACTTGGTGGGCTGTAGATCAATCCATGAGTTATAATCAAGTCTAAGAAAAGTATAAACTTCAATTAGTGGTAGTTCAAGTGATATATAGGAAAGAACAAAACATCAAGTAAAATTTAATTTAAGGTTTATATGTTCTAATCATGTGGTATAGTTTTACACATCCTAAAATGAAAATTAATATATTTGAAACCTTGTTTCAAATACATACTTCTAGGCAAGACTAATGAAATTTTATAGGCGGATTTTTCTTTTTAACTAGGCAATTATTTTAGTTTTCAAAAAATTAAACTAAAAAGATTTTCACCAAATACATGTGTTTATCATTCAATTTTTTCAAATAGAGAAAAATTTAAGCGTATTCAACGTCATTAAATTATTTGTTTTGAAAAGTAAAAAAAAATATCAAACGCGTTGAACTCGTGAATACACATTATGTATATACGACAAAATAAACATATATTTTCATAAATTTACTTTATTTTTTTCAACTCTTAATTAATATTTTAAAATTATAGTAAAACACTGTAATGGGAAAAATTAGGGAATCTTTGAAGAGGAGTGTTGTAATACAATTTGACACTTTGGAGCAATTTTGCTCTTAAAAAGAAGTAATTGCTTATAAGACTCAAACTCTTATGATAAAAATGTTGCCCATATGAAAAGTGATCATGCCAACGTAATTTTGCATGAAATATCGCATAAAATGACTTTTCATTTATCTTTCTTTCCCTCTACCCTTAATATAGAAAAAAGAAAATCATTACATTATTTATTTCTCGATTTATTTAAAATATTTAGAAAAAAAAAAAGAGCAAGAAGAAAGACATAAAAGGCGTGTGGGAAAAAGAAAAGGAGTAAGACAAGTAAATAATAAGAGGAAAACGCGTCTTTGAAGTGAACGTCCCCATTCCATGAGGCCGTGAAAGAAGCTCACTCCTCTCCTTTTTTCTTCTTCTTTAATTTATGTCCAATTCGTAATTAAAAAAAAAAGAAACAAAATTTCATCATATATTTTCAAGAAATATAAACTTCAATTTGAGATGTTACTTGCATGGCTTAGTTTTTGATATTTTTAGCTTAGTCTTATTCGAGTGTTTGTCTATGTTTCATAAAAGTTTATTATAGTAGGTGGAACAAGTCATTTTCAATTAGATTCTCTGTTAACATCAAATAAACGGCTTTGACTAATTACTATGGATTATTGACAACGACTTATAAACACAAAACTATCTTTGTATGAAAAAAGAAAAGAAGAAGATTCAAATAGACAAAGAGATGATAAAGTATAATTTCTCATAATTATCTCATCACAATTTGTATCAACTCCAATATAGGTCTTATCTATATCATCAACTCTTTCTGTAATTTCTTAAAATCTCTCTGTCTTTTCTCTAAGGAAAGACCAAAAAGACGAGAAGAAGACAAAACAAGGCATTAAAAGTTTAAATAAAGCACGTAATAACAACAAATTATTACGTAATAATTAAATACAAAATTTATATTTCTTCCAAATATACACCAAACACCTCTAAAAAAAATTCACCCTTTTCTTTTTTTTTTCTATATATCTAAATTCATAACACACAAAAAACTCATATATACAAATATATATACATATACAAACATCGTATATATCAAGTAACAGAGAGAAAAATCTTTTTCTTCCTCTCCTTGATCGGAGGGTCGCCGTGTTGAAAAGGATGGATGGTGGTGGAGAGACGACGGCGACAACGACGATGGAGGGGAGAGGGTTGAAGAAAGGGCCGTGGACAACGACGGAGGATGCGATCTTGACGGAGTACGTGAGGAAACACGGCGAAGGTAATTGGAACGCCGTGCAAAAGAACTCAGGTTTGCTCCGGTGTGGCAAAAGTTGCCGGTTACGGTGGGCGAATCATCTCCGGCCAAATCTAAAGAAAGGATCTTTTACTCCTGATGAAGAAAAGATCATCATCGAGCTTCACGCTAAGCTTGGAAACAAATGGGCTCGTATGGCTTCTCAGGTTAAAATTTTCTCATAAATCTTTTTTTCTTTCTTTCATTTATTCATTAATTTTGTTTTAGTTACTAATCTCCTTATTTGTTTCTTCAATTCAAGAAACTAAAGAGCTATAATTTTTTTATATGCAATTTTGTTTTCCTAATTAAACACACAATTTGCATGATTTAATGTGTTTTAAACTTTGAATCTTTCTTTCTCTTAGCATGATTAATCTTGCTTCTCTATTTTTTTTGTTTGATGCTTATAAACGTTTTGTTTTTGTTTTTGATGTATATATAGTTACCTGGAAGAACAGACAACGAGATCAAGAACTATTGGAACACGAGGATGAAGAGAAGACAAAGAGCTGGTTTGCCTTTATACCCTCATGAGATTCAACATCAAGGAATTGATAATGATGATGAGTTTGAGTTTGATTTAACTTCCTTCCAGTTCCAAAACCAAGATCTTGATCATAACCACCAAAATATGATTCAATACACTAATTCTTCTAATACTTCATCATCTTCGTCTTCATTCTCTTCTTCATCTTCTCAACCTTCAAAAAGGCTGCGTCCTGATGATCCTTTAGTCACTACTAATCCCGGCCTAAACCCGATCCCCGATTCTTCGATGGATTTTCAAATGTTCTCTCTTTACAACAATAGCCTTGAGAATGACAATAACCAGTTTGGTTTCTCTGTTCCTTTGTCCTCATCATCCTCGTCCAACGATCCCAACCACATCCTTGAGTTCATCTCCGAGAATTCGGACACAAACAATACAAATAAGAAAGACATTGATGCTATGAGTTATAGTTCATTGCTTATGGGAGATCTTGAGATAAGACCGAGTTCTTTCCCTTTAGGACTAGAAAATTCCGTCCTAGAGCTTCCTTCAAACCAAACACCGACCCATTCGTTCAGTTCTAATCCTATTCTCGACAATGGTGTCCATCTTGAGCCACCAGCTGGCAACAGTGGACTACTTGATGCTCTCTTGGAGGAGTCTCAAGCCTTGTCTCGAGGCGGAGTCTTCAAGGACGTTAGGGTTTCCTCGAGTGATCTATGTGAGGTTCAAGATAAGAGGGTGAAGATGGACTTTGAGAATCGGTTAATAGATCATCTAAACTCTTCTCATCATTCATCATTGGGTAAGCACATAAGATTTTCCATCATTTTAATTTATAAATTTTTTTGGTATAACCGTTTTATTTATATTGCATAGTTTTGAAATTTACAAAATCAGTGATCAAAGTAAAAATCAAATCTAGTATGGATCTTTGGTAATATCGAAGATATCTACTGGATCTTAGGCCTAAGTAACTCTTTCATTTTATTTTACATAACTTGAGTTCAATGAAACAGGAACAAACCCTAATATTCACAACAAGTACAATGAGCCAACATTAATGGTGAAAACAACGGTGGATGATGATGATGACTTATTGATGAGCCTTCTCAACAACTTCCCTTCAGCCACAACACCGTTGCCTGATTGGTACCGGGTGACGGAAATCCAAAACGAAGCCTCATATCTTGCTCCACCGAGCGGATCAATTCTAATGGGAAACCATCAAGGTAACGGGAGGGTGGAACCACCCACGGTGCCACCTTCGTCCAGTGTAGATCCTATGGCCTCGTTGGGGTCATGCTATTGGAGCAACATGCCTAGCATCTGTTAGTTTGGAACCTCCTCATGAGTAAAATCATTTCTTTGATTTGGAAAAGAGAAAGCTAATTGTGAGCTCAATTTGTCTTTGTTGTGTAAAATCTTCTTCAACTTGGGCTGTGCTATGAACTTTTATGTTAACATGTTTTCAAGGAACAAAAGAGAAATTAAAAGAGATGAGGATACTTTTCTTTTGGGTTCAATCATCGTACAAATCGAACTTATGGCTAACCAAGAGTGTTCACAAGAAAAAAGAATTGCATTTATATAATTACCTCGAAAATACATGCATAACATGAAAATTTATCATAACTTTCGCATGTGGAACATAGATGTGAAAGTTTACAACATATTTATTCGACTGATAGTTTCTTTTATTTATTCATTTTCGGACAAATTCTAATTTTGCATTTGATTGTTGTTTCGATTTATCAAATCCTCCTACACAGAATTTTAGAGTTCAAGTACTAGTGTACCACCAAAAAACTACAATTTGAGATCTCAAACTATAGTCTAGAGTAAACGAGAACATTTAACAGCATTTGATTAGCCTATATATGTAATTTTTCTTTTTCTCTTTTAGAGATCTACCACGTTTGGGGCCGAAGCCCGTGGATCTCCGGTCGGGGACCAAAACGGAGAAATTAGTCCCTTCCCCAAGCAGTTGAGCTAAAAGACCTAAATCATACGATCTTGTAGATGGAATCTAGATTCGCCACTAGACCACAAACTCATAGACGTGTAATTTGATTTTTATTTAGGAGAATTATTATAACAAACGTAAGAAACAAGGAAGAGCTAGCTAGAAGTAGAAAATAGGGGAGGAGAATGTGATTGGGCAGTGAGACGACTAGTTGCATCCACTGCCATTGGCTTATGTCATTTGCATATTATTTCACACTATTCCAAGAAATGATTTCCTTAAATTCGGCACCCCGGAAGAAAAAAATGAAGATAATAATTATGCAAGTAGGTCCATACATATTTTTTTCTTCTGTACTTGCACCTTATCTGAGTTCTGACATCATACTGCAGTTCTTGGATCAGAAGTCTTTTTATTTCTACATTTTCACTTTACTTTAGCTCCAATATATTGATGTCACTCACTCCTGCAGAGACCCCAAAAGCTAAGGAAATAAAAAGTGATCCGATCCTCAAAATATAGTTTTCCTTTCATTTATATATTAACGAGTCAAATAGCACTACGCGAGTAAAAAAGTAGTACTAAAAGATAAAAAGCTAATTTAGACAAAAAAAAAAAAAAGAAGATAAAAAGCTAAAAAAACGCACTCATTCCAAAATTAGCATCAATATGCAACGACCAGAGATGCTATGAACATTCTAGATTTTGGACTTGTCTGAATCGGACAATTTTTAGAATGTCAGAAACTGGCCAAGTCTGAAAATGTCAGAAATTCCATTCTAGAAAATGCCTGCAGTATTCCATTCACGACCATTGACAAAACCATATCAATCTGAAAATTGAGTAGAAAAATTAGTAAATATTTTGGAAAAAAAAAAAACAATTTTAGAGTACAACAAGAAATCATACATTCATACTTGTTCACCAACACACACTTCATCAAAACTATACACACAACTTAAAAAGACTAGAGAATAAGATTTAAGAAACAATAACTGTGGAAAAAAAAATACCACACAAAAAAGGAAGAAGCTTATGGATATTTTTCAAGTGGCTATTGTTTTTTATGAGACTGCATTGAAAAACAAACACACTTAGCTTTCATGGCTTCCACTTCACTTCCATACTCTCTGAATTTATATTCCTCCTGCTGTTTAAACGTTGAAGGAATTTTCCCTTCGCTGTAACATTGGTTACAGAGGCTAAACCCTGTTTTCACTTCCTTAAACCGAGACCCGATAATCGGATATCGACAAACCGAACAAACGTGGTTCCCGTGTCGATTCCTATCTCTTGTTTCGAGTTTAAAAACAGTCGACATGATACCAAATCCCCACTCTGAATCATCGTACATCTCTAGAAACTGGTTGAATGTTACCGTCGAAGTATCATCAGTTTCTCCATGAACTTCTAACATTTCGCTCATTCCTTGTGACGGTATGTAGATAGCTCTCAAGAGTTTGATGTAGTTGACGGCTTCCATTTTTGTAATCTGAGAGCTTCCTTCGTTTTCTGGTTTCCAAAGAAGCGCATCAAATGCAACTCTTTTCCTTTTGTCTGGATGGCCACCACATAAAGGAGCAATCACCGCATAAAACATTCCCAAATCAACTCTTCCCGACCCTGAATCATCGAGCACCGAGAGGATTTTCTCGTTTATGGCCTTAATCGCTCCTTGGAAAGTTTCAGGTTTCAGGACATTAAGCAGACGCCGGAGAATCTCTTCTAAGTTTGGTCTCCTTATAGATTTTGTGGGCACTCCATTGCCGGAATAGGATACAGGAACATTGTTGTCTCTCATCTCTCTTCTTAATGCTTCAACATCGCATTTCCACAGCCTTGTAACTCTCTGGAAGGCTCTAATTTGAAGAGCAATGGCTAAATCTGGCCTTAAAGTAGTCTTCTCGCCTACCGTCTTGAATTTGGAAGGTTCCACAACAATAAACGGACCTTCTTCATTCGCACTATTTCCTTTTTTGACCTTTTTCTTCTGTAACTGTTTCAGATGAGATACTGCATCGTGCAACTCAACTCGGTTTGTCATTTTCAGGGCCTCCTTTAAAGCCCGCTTAGCTTCTTCGGTCTCTCCAGCGCCCAACAAGGACACAGCCTTGTTGAGTTGTGCACGCCAATGGTTAGGCCACACCGCTAAAACTCTAGTGTACATCTCTGAAGCTCTTTGAAACCTACCCAAATCCATGTAAAGGCCACCGAGATTATAAAGAGCATCGACATGGCCAGGTTTCAAATCTATAGCTCTCTGGAAAACCTCAATAGCCCTCTCATCCTCACCCATGGCATGAAGCGACGAAGCCAAATCACAATGCGCATCAGCATAATCCGGTTTCAAATATATAGCTTCCTCTAAAGCCTTCACAGCAGCTCTATACTCTCCTACACCGAACAGAGCACTACCTAGAAGCTTCAAGGCTCTATAATGCGTTGGACAAAGAATCGCAGCCTCTCTATAATACTCACAAGCACTCAAAACCATACCTTCGCCTTCAAGAGAGATACCGAGATTGACATAAATCTGAGGAAGCAAGTAAGCCCATTGATTCCCGCCGGACTCCGCAGCTTCCAACGCCAACAAAAACTCGTCTTTGGACTCTTTATACTTCCCCAATACATAAAGACAATTCCCAGCTTTGAAATGAGGTCTCACATCCGTCGGTTGCAACTCGCAAGCTCTCTTAAAACTAACAAGAGCTTCTTTAAACAACTGATGCTCATACAAAACCCTACCAATCGCCATATGTCCATCAAAAGCTTCTTCTCTTGATCTAGCACCATCAGCTTTACTTCTCAACACACCTAATTCCTTCACAAACACCGCGTAATCGTGAGTCGATTCTTCCCAATAGATTCTTTTATCCGAAATATCCGAAGACGGTCCCAACTCTCTAGACCATCCAGCATCAGAAAACGCATCCACATTATTATTATTATCCACTTTCAATTTCCCATCTTTCTCCTGCTTAGACTTCAACCTCTTAACCAAAATCTCCAAATCATCAACAAGCTTCCACGTCTCATCAAAAACAATACCATGATTCGGCGAAACCGCCCAAGCCGCCGTTCTCTGCTGCTTCTGCGCCTCAACAGCTCTCTCATCAGTAATCGAAGACGACGAAGCTTCCGAGCCACCCTTTGACTCGTCAGCGTTAAACTCAATCCCTAAAGCGTCGAAATCACGATCAACATCTCCAGCACCGTCGTCGTAAGTTCGGAGAAGACCGTCAAAGGTCAAACCTTTATCTCCGTCGATGAATTCAGCGTAGGTACGAAACACTTCGTCGAGAATTGCGCTGATTTGTTCGTCGCTGAATTTAACTCTAGGGTTCACAGCTACGACGAGAGCTGACATCTCTTCTCTGCTTAAACCGCCGTCACGGTTTCCATCGAATTGCTGGAAAATTCTCTTGACTTTCTCCGATCTGCTTCCTCTGGTCGTCATATTTTCCTCACCGGAAAAATAAAAATCCAAACTTTTTTCTTTCCCTCCCCACAAAATCAGGGCTTATAATGGATAAAAGCAAAAAAAGTGAGAATCCAATGTAGCAAAAACACTAATTAAAGATCATTTTTGAAGCTTTGTTGTGAGAATCTCTACTTAATCCTCTGAATCTGATATGTGTTGTGAAAAAGTTGCTAAATTTAAGAAAATGAAGAAGAAATCAAATGTGGTACAAGAGTCCGAGCTGTCTATTTGTTGTCTAAAAAAAACTCGGATAGTGGACAGGAGATAACGGTGTTGTTGTTGTTGTACTCTGCTGTTGTGGGCTTTACTCTCATCTTTAATTATTCTTACAAAATATTTGTCTTCTAATTTTTTTTTTAATTCGAGAAAACTAAGTACAACTATATTAATAGTACTAGTTCAATAGTCAATACCAATAAATTGAATATTTATTGAAGAAGTCAATTCTCCACTTGTATTAGAAATGTGATATAGAAGAGATAAAATGATGCATTATTTGGCTAATAAATGCGAAATAAAGAACAAACCTTGATGTTAGTTTCATCAATCTACACTAACCTTTATGTGGTAATCAAACTAGAATTTATTTCAGGAAATTCGATTTTGCTTTTTATGTGCTTATATGTTACTCCCTCCGTTTCATATTAAGTATCGTTTTAGCCTTTTAATTTTGTTTCAAAATAAGTGTCATTTTGTGTTTTCAATGCAGATGTTTGGTAAAATTTCCAGTTTTGTCCCTACTAATTTAATGTATTGACCAATGAAAAAACAATAAAATATATAGATAATGGGTAAAACAGAAAATTTAATTGTTTTCTTAATATGTGTGTAAAAACCTTAAACGACACTTATTATGAAACAGAGAGAGTATAACCAAATTTGAAACTAAACCAGAAGAAAGTTTGAACATTACTTTGAAAAATCCTTCAAACTATGGTGACATATATTTGCTAGTAAACCAAATTCACAAACCGGACCGGTTTGGATCGAGTTCTAAGAGAAGAGGAGACAATGGAAACCTGAAAAGAAGCTTATATATTTGGTAAAGGGGTCTACTAGTTTGAAGATGATGATTACGGCGTCGTTTTGGTGATTCTTGCTAAGCAATTATCTTTGGGTCGATTGTGAGGCAAGAACATCACCGGACACCCTGGATTGCTCCTTTCTACCCTGTGATTTCGCCATTGCAAACAAAACATTATGATTCTGCAGCTATATGCAGAATGGGAACTAGAAGAAAGAGGGGAAGTTACCGGTATCTGAGGAGGAAATGATGAAGAAAAATGGAAATCTCGAGCTTTGCAAGATCGTTTCCAGGGCAAAGATGGCTTCCTAATCCAAAAGGAAGGAATGTGCCGGCTTTTGGTGTGTATCCCTGTAGAATGAACCAGACAATGTTCAGGTACTTTTGACATATAAAGAGACTGCAGCACCAAATACAGTTACAAAGACAGTTTCATTGTAGAATGCGATAAGTCTGTTATCTCTACATACTTCCCATCTTGAAGGATCAAATTTCTTTGGATCCGGGTAGATCTCAGGGTCCAAATGGACGTTCCTAAACCAAGTCAGAACTTTCCAGCCTTTTGGAATGATATAGCCTGAAAACAAAACATGAGAAATGAGTATAATGGAAGTTTCAAGATGATTTACTGTGTTCCATATTAGGTAAAAAGTATACTGACCATCTATTTGGACATCACTCTTTGCTTCCCGGAAGGCTGTAAGAGAGAATGTTATTACTCGAAGTGTCTCATCAATAACCTGGTAAAAGACTCTTTTCATCAGTTAAAGACTGTGTAACAACTCAAACAATGTTTATAAACACAAAACATTACGTTGCAATGAGGCAGAAACTTGACCTGAGAAAGATACTCCATTTCACGTGTCTCTTTTAGCGTCAACTTCTGTCCCAGCGCTCTGTTTTTTACGATCCTCTCTTGCTCTTCCTATGGTACAACGAATATCACAAAGACTGTACACTGAAATGGAAAATAAAAATATAGAACTATTTTCTAGTTACCTTTGCCTTTTGTAGAATTTCAGGGTGTTCTTGCATCAAAATGGTAGCCCACATAGTGAGGTGTCCAGAAGATTCATGACCCGCATTAAGATACATCAACAAAAGATCAATAATTTCCTCGTCATCTAAAACTCTTCCGTTTTCATCTTTAACATCTATTAGATTATCCAGCATGTCTTTTCTATTGGATGAAATATTCTGCTTCCTTTGATTTCTTCGGTTAGTCACTATGGACTGAAAGGCAGCTACAAGTTTTTTCCTTGCCTGTATAAGTGGAAAATACTACTCTTCAAATCCCAACAGATATGCACAAGTGGAATCAAAGGTTGTTGAATGTTTTACCTTCAAAGCTCTATGATAAGCAAATCCAGGAAGATTAATACCCATTGCTCGAACTCCGTAGTTAAGGTTGGTATATTCCCGTTCCAGTGCATCCATGACATGCTCACTCTCACTGCTGAGAAATATGTACATAATGACCTTAAACGTAAGCTTACGCAAATGAGATAAGAACTCGATTTCTCCCATTTTGGACCATTTTTCTAGATCAGTAATAACAGTTTCTTCAATGAATTGTATGTAGACAGAGAGAGCTTCAGGGCCATTGACAGGAGCAGAAGTCAAACGCCTGAGCCGCTTGTGTTCTTCAAAGGAGATACCGACAAAGGACTTCCTGCCAATGAGTTTCATGGTAGATTTTGGCCAACCTATGTGAAAGGCATCATCATCTGTTAGAACTCGGCGACAAGTCTCTGGTGTTGTTACTAGTACACATGGGTACCCAAACATGTGTGCTTTATAAATACCGGTACGCCCATACCTGCATCATTGAGGAAACGGAGAGTGTGTCTAAGTTTTCAATTCATGATATGGAGAAGCAAGAGAGCAAAAACAAAATCTCAAGTAAAGCAAAAAGTAGTGGAAACTGAGCACTTTGTGAAATAGTTTGAGAAGAGAGAGCACCTTGTGATGTAGGATTGGATGAAGGATTCAGGATCAGATGTTTTGAAAGCTCTAAGAAAGGACCACATGTTGCCTATGATTGGCCATCCCAAATCACCTGGTGGTAGATAGTGTTTTTTCTCACCAAGTTTGGACTCATAAATCCAAACATTCACACTCTTCAACACCCATTTCAAAACAAACAATCCCAAAACCATCAAAGGGAACCACATGAGAATCAAACCCGGTTCCGTCATAGCTTCAGTCGTAAACACTCCCCAATCAAAATTTCAATCTTTTTCAACTGACCACCTCTTGTATCCTCTAGATGTTATATCATACCCTGCAGATAGATAAAAAATGGTGAGAAATATCTCTATAAAAGGAGTTTACTTAAACACAAAGGAGTAAACGGACAAAGACTTTAATTAGAATAGTGGAAGTGTGGAACAGTGTTGTTGAGTCTATCAAGGGAATGATACTTATCTAGACTTTAAACTAAAAGAACCCGACCGCTTGTTTTCTATCTATTTGTTGGATAGCTGTTCACATGTAGTGCTAAGTGACCATACTTTCTTTTCCATTTTAGCTCTCTATAGCTCTTCCCTAAGCCTTTACTTCTTTGAGAAAAGAGGTTCTTTAACAAAACCATACTCTTTATAACATGTATAGATCACAACAATCACATAAGAAACTTCTAAATTGAACAACATACCACGGAAATTGCAGTACCGTTGGATCCAAACCAAAACCAAACTTTTGCAAAGAAAACTAAAGTAAAAAGAGGAGACAAAAGAGGTGATTTAAGAGGAAAACTCAAAAGTAAGAGAAGTGAGACTCTAAATAATAAACGTTTCAGAAGAATACAAAGACCGTAAATGGAGGTGAAGAAACCAAAAGAGCACACATTCCCAATACAGAATCACAAGAAAACAATTTAACAGAAGAATCCAAATTGGAACAAAGACATAGGACCTCCTATCAAATTTCTCGTGAATCATTAAAAGACACAAAGACTTTATTCCTGTTTGGTTCAATTTTGCTCTTCAAGCGTTACTCTTTTTTTTTTTTTTTTGTCACCTAATAAAATCCGTCAATTTTGTCTTCCTCTGAACAAAACCCACAAGACATTTGAGAGAAAGTCCGAACCTTTTTGAGCGAGCAAGAAATGAGACCCTGCTTCGTCTCCCCCATAGCAACGGAGCAGAAAAAAGATGCAACATTTCGGTCCCTCCGGTTAAACCGGTGTCAGAACTTGCCGGATTTGCCTTCTCCGCCATCTCCGTAGCACCATCGAACCAGAGATTGTGTGTCACAGAGTAAAATAATAAAGAGCATTACTTTGATAAACACATGTTCTATTTTTACCTCCTCTTATTTATTTCTTTGTAACAAGATATTTAAAACATTCGTTACTTCAACAATATATTTAAACATTCGTTACTTATTCATGATTGATCCCTAATCAAAATCACAAAAAGTTTTGCATTGATCTAAATAAAACACACAAGCTACTTCACTCCCCCCAAAAAAAACAGCCAAAATCAGAAAGAAGCAAGCGCGTTTGCTGCAGCCGCTGGTTTGTGGTTTCCTTCTACTAAAACGTAAACGCTTTGTCGCAAACCGCTATCTTTGCAAGAGTTTCATTTCATACTTATCTCTCTATAGTCCTCTACCATGTATTTAACTATGATATACAAACAAATGTAGCTATCTTCTTGGTTCATAAAGAATATGAACAAGAAGAAGGAGAATTGTTTTCCGGGTGATCATCGTTTGATGTCTGTTTGGGTTTGAAAAACAAATTCTATATATGATCTATGTGTATATGTTGTGGAAGGCCTCAAAATCTGGCTTTCCAAATAGCGTTTTCTGGTTCACCACATCGCTTGTGAACTTCTTTAATTCGATCAGCTGATCTGCAGATACCACTACAGGTCCAGTCAAATGAAGCTACACATATGTTGCCTGCTTGTGCCTTCCATTCACAATCTGTAATTCACCAAGAATCAGATTTAGTGTATATCATATGATTCCAGTTACATCAAGATTCTGGTTAAAGTTTGCTTCAAAGAAAACATTCTAGTTAGGTGCATAGAATTAACTAAGTTTTAACTTTTTACCACTCCACAATCATCTAACATGTATTGAACTGAGTCTATAGATATTTGAAGGAAAGGAAGAGAAACCGAGAAGGTACCCGGAGGAGTGCCGCAACATAGCCTTCTATCGTCGATATGTGTAACATCAAGCCCGATAAACCAAGCACCTAATGTAACATCCTCATTTGCATATTTGTGCAGAACATGCCTGGAACATTTTGTAAGAAGAGAAATTAGATGGAGAATGAGGCATACATAGAGTACAAAGGAGTTCAAATCTTACTGATTAAGGGCAATGTAAGAAGCCAAGTCTCTTGAAATGGCGTATAATTGTCCAGTAGCGTGACGGAAGTACTTGTTTCCATTCTCACCAAATTTCCAATATTCAGGCTCATGGTATCTAACTCCTCTGCTCCATAGAAAAAATGTGAGTTATAACAAAACTGAGAAACTTATTCAAAAAGAAGGAAAGTGGGAGAAATGAGATTTTACTTTTGAGATAGGACTGGACCAGATTTCATGCAGCCGATATAGACTCGATGTTTCTTCCTGTGTCTAACAAGAGTTTCCCCAAGTGTTGCTGCAGATATTTTCAACAAAACAATTGATATTAGCAACAAACAAACTAGGAAATACAAACTGACTGAAACTTTTACATAATCCGGTGGAAAATTGTAGAGCTTACCGATATTTACATGAACATCATCATCTACTTTGACATAGAATTCTGCATCCCACTTTGAAACAGCTGTAGAAAAATATGTTTTTGTTTTCCCTGATAACTCAAGGTATCCTTCAACATGGTCCTGTTATAAGCAGCAAGGAATCACAAATGAATATAAGAAACTGTTATAACGGCTTTGGGCGAGTCAATATGAGAAGAAAAAAAAATACCAATCTCAAGAAATCTCCATGTTTCTTGTCCTCTGCTTCAATGGATCGGTCTAGAATTCCGCCCGCCGTGGCACTAAAGAACCAGTGACAAATAAGATCAGATATGCAGAGAACACTAAGTGGGACTCGTCTCAGAAACTATGTAAGAACACAGTGGTTGATTCGATATCTGACATTATACTTAAAGATTCAAACTCTCACTCACCTATGACCAATCACAAACCGTATAATAATTCCCTTCTCTTCCTCTAACTTCTTTCTTTTCTCACCTACAAGCATTGAAATTGACAGAAACAAGCATCAAGGAAGATGGTGATATATATCAGCAACCATGAAGATAATGAAGCTAGAAAGTGGTGTTGGAACCTGAAGGCATCCAAGTTGTTCGAACAGAATCTCTTCTCTTGCGGCTACTAAAAGCAGTATTAATCCCTACAACCATCAAATACCGTCTTTTCCCCGGTAATTGCCTCTTCTCCACATCATTCGATATAGGAGCACCGTTTATCAAAGACTCCTGTGCTGATCTTGCTGCGGCTAACTCCATCTCTAAACTTGAAATGGTCTTATCCAATGTCCTGAAGTTAAACAAGAACGTTTTGAAACCTGAGAAGTTTTCGAAGATTCTGAATTTGGATCACTAGAGCTTAAAGATTTATCTTACTGTATAGCATTATGAGTCTTGGAAACTTCTCCAAGCAAAGCCTGAGGATCACGATTTACTTCTTTCTGGTAGAGCTAAAAAAAGAAAACCAATCAAAACTTGTACAAACTCAACCAAAATTGACTAAAATGAATCGAACAAGAAACACATTACACACACATTTTTCGGATCACAGCCCTCAGAGATCAGCTTAAGTCTTTCAGCTTCTGTACTTACAGATGGTCGAGACATGTCTTTAGACTCTGGAATAATCCACATCCTGTAACAGAGAGTTTCATAAGTTTTGAGACAAAGAGTCGTTGACACCAAAATCATGTCTCATAGGCTCATAGCTTAATCCAGAAGTTAAATTATCATTTTATTGCATTAATATGGTTATACCAATAGTCACCAGCTAGCAATGATCTTCATTACAAATCGACAGACCAAAGTAGAAATTACGTAACGTAGGCTCAAGAAACAGAGTAGAACTAACTTTAATCGGATCTCATTGATTGAAAAAAGTGAAATCCCAGAAAGCAAATTGTTTTAGCTCTATAAGAACAACATGAATCTCTGAAGAAACAAACCATAAGAACAACATGTGAAACAAAGAAGAATAAAATAAAAAACAGCTGGAAAAAGTATAAAGTCAAGATTTTTAACCTATCGGTGAAGAGTATCCCAAAGCAGAAGCTCCCAAAGCAGAGTAAAAATGTCCATTTCTTGGATACTAAGCTTCTGGACGAAAAAAGCTCTCCTTTGATCTTCGTCGACATTATTTTTCTCTTCAACAACCAGAGAAGAATAGAGATTCCCCAGGAATCAAAGTATCTAATTCAATCCAAACAACTCCATAAGACGAATCGAAACTATAAATTAGGTAAAAATCAGATACAGCAAAAAGAAGTAGCTCATCAATCTTCAGAGCCTCCGAAACCAAAAAGCTGAGATTTTTCACGTAGTCTACGAGAAATTCAAAGAGAGGTGGTGCTCTGGAGTTTTCGTAGTTTAATTAAAGATGGTGTTAAAGAGAATCTTGGTCTCTCTCTCTCTCTCTCTTTCTCTGGCTCTGTATTTTTTACGCAGGGACTTGAGAGTGGAAGAGGAGGGGTCGTTGAAGAAGAAAAGGAAGAAGAAGAAATAAGAACGAACTCTTAACCGTTCCGGTTTACTTATACCAACTCTGGGCTGACATTTCTTGGAATTTACCCAACTATCCCTATCAATACCGTTTTTTATTAAAACCTAAATAATTTATTATGATGTGTGATTTTGAAAACAATTGTATGCCTATATATATATATATATATATATATATATATATATATATATATATATATATATATATTTATCACATTTGATGTCTTGCTTATTTCTTCTCTCTTATGACTCATATTTTCATACACATATTTTCAAAGATATTTCTTCCTACTCAAATGTTTAATGTGTTTCTTTCTAATTAAATACATGTGTATTTCTATTTAAAAAAATTATACATGTGTTTACTCTATTTTCCAAACTAAAATTTTTCAAGATAATTAAAAATATAAAAATATATTATTGTAACAGTATGCGAATGGGAATGATACCGTTGCTAATTAGTTATTGTATATAAAAGTACCTTCATTTTTTACGGGATAAAATTATATTCATTTGATTTGAAATTAATTACTATAATTTATAGAAGTAACAAATGCGATGTTAGGACACCAAATCTGACACCACTAAGATAATGATGTATTGATGTGTACTAATTCGTGCTATAAATCTATAATATCCAAACTTTTGCCTTTCTGGTGGTTTTTACACTGTTGTCAATATTTTATATATACCAATATGATTAATCATAAAGAGAGAATTAAATATATAAATTTTTTTAGGGTATGAAAATGTCGAGAATTTTCGAGAACTTTCCTTGTGGTTATAAGTTATAAGTTATAACGTAAGAGGTTGAAAGAATAAAGGACAAGTAAGGCGGTTGATAAAAAGGGCATGGTGGTCCTGAGCTTTTCTCAGTAGATAACACATGATTTTCGTAGGCACACACACTGATAGGATTCGTTATTCAACTAAACTTTTTTACTCACAAAAAAAAAAAATTATGTACACCATGAATTTCATTTTCTATACCCTGAAGTCTCTGGGTTCGGGGGTTGATTAGGGCGTATACCTAATTCCAATATTAAAGAAAAAATATGGGAGAGGACCATATTCGATCCAAATTTGTTCTCCTAAAAAAGTGATTATTATTCTACGTGACAAGCTATAACAATATTGAGTTAACAGTAACTGATTTATTATTGACAAAATAAGTGACGTGAAACGACTGACTTTGTCTTTTTCTTAGGATAAACACGTCGGCAGCATTTAATTGTAATTATATTGGTTCTAAGTTCTAACTACTTTTTAACTATCAAATACAGTATTTGAAATTCCATGAGCAAATAAAGATATTAAGACAAGATGAAAATGATCTGAATATAAGAAAAGAAAAACTAAGATGAAGTTGACCTAAAAAAAAAAAAAACGATCATGTTATACAAATCTCCTTCGCTTATTTTCTATTTATATTTTTCTGATATCTTCTTTAAAATTAACAAAAGAAATTATCTTATTTATTGGTTACCTAATTGTTTTCTTTTCTTATGTTGAATGGATAAAAAATTTATGAATTATTTTCTAACAACTTCTTAAAAACTATATATAAGATTGATACCCTCCATATTATTAATTCGAGATAAGATATATTCCCTCTTCTTCCTAAAAGATTGATTTTCTAACTATTTAGTTTGTTGCACAAAGATTAATTTCTTACTATTTTATTTTTATTTTTATTGACTTATAATAGTAAATTGTAAATTTCAAGATGAAATGATTATAAATCATTAACTTTCAGACTACTATTAGTTGATAATTATTAAAAATATTTAAAATTAAAAACAATGTTAAATGATTAAACAATAATTAAGTTCTTAATATGTGTTAAAACTCCAGAACATCAAACTATTAGGAACAGAGGGAGTATATCCATATGAAGTTGGAAGACTGTGATGACTAATAAACTCAAAATAAATTTGCCTAAGGAAAGAAAGTTTCTAAGTGGACTATGTATCAGTTCAAACACATGAATATATAGAGTGCAAATGATCACATTTTAGCCGTACGTAGAAACAATCATTGAGGTGGCATTAAAATGATTGTTCCCACCTATTTGACGAAAACAATAATTTCTTACTGGAGAAATAATAGTATAAACATGTGACACATGACATAAAGCGTCTAAGCCAATGAAATATTGTTATAAGCAAACTACTCCCACATGCATTCCCAAGTCGTTTGCATAGCTTTTGATGGGTAGTTATAGATAGTTTTCATTTTTGTAACATCACGATGATAGATAAAACATAGATTTTAAATTGATCTAATCCTCACTCAGTTTAGCGAGATATGAACAATATCGCTCAAAAACCAAAACAAGAAGCATAAATGTGTAGTAATCTCTAGGAGTCGAAACATTAAACAAAAAATTTTAGAGAAGAGTAAAGCGGTACTGACGGAGTGACGGGAGGGGCACTTGCGAGAAGGGACGGTCGGAATAAAGTACACGTGATAAGGTTCTGCCATTTGACATGTGTTGCTATCTGATTGGATAGTCAGTTCATTAGATCCTGCTCAATCATGTGACGCTTTTCCGTTTTCCGTCACGTGGTACTGCGTTAAAGTAATGTGCATGTGGATCCAACGTCACGAGCTTCATCCACGTGTCATCATGATGTTTAGAAATATGATTTTTGCTCACTTTGTGTAAATTGTGTCCAAAAACAAATACCACATTACTTGAGCTCATTATCAAATAGTTCGGTCTATTTGGAAGTTGTTATATATATATCATCGAACATTTTTTTCTGAGGATCCCACATTTGCTATAATTTTTCAATTCTAGCAACTTTTATGGTCATTTATTTGATTTCAAACATGTTTATACATGTACAAGAACAAGACCATAAATCACTCGTTCATGTGAGATTCCGATGCCAATATGCCATGCATAGCCACCTTGAATCGAACTTGCTAAGTTTTAGCATATTTGGTTATTAAAAATGTTAATCTCATAGTCATACATTTGGAGACAAATTCATCTCATGCCCGATGTGAAGCTGTACATGCTTTTCTAAGAACAGTCTATTTGACATTTTAGTCTAATTAATAAATGTATAATTTTTGCCATACGGTGATAATTGTTTTTAATTTTAAGTAAGAGACAATGGTAATAAATGGTGAAATAAAATCATAGTAAAAAATAATGGTGTAAAAATATATGGTGATACAAAGAGATAAAAGCAAAAAAAAAAAAACATAACGATTATCCATTTATTAGACCGTTTTAATTGAATTATTCCACCTCTCCATTTTGTTCCTTCGTTTGATTGGTAGATAACCATTCAAAGGATGCATTTTTTCGTCGTAGTAAACAATAAAATGTATAAAGTTTACTATATTAATATGAGATTCGTTTTCGACATAAGAAAATAAATTGATGGAACCTATGAAAAATGATATAAACAATAAACAATGAGGTGACATCTCCAAGATTGATGGTACTTTAATCTTTTGAATCATTTATATTTTATGGGATATATGTCCTAGCCAGGGAACACACATACGTTGTACAACGAGATGATATGACATGACAGTCGCGCGTTACATGCCACATTCATTCATTTCTGAAAATTTTATCAATAAGTAACTCTTTTAGGCGGTAGTATTTTTTTGGACATTTCTGAATTAGTTAAAGAAATGTAGTCGAAAATTTTTATAAGAAAAAGAATCATGTAATAATAGTCCATTGATGCTTGTGCTCATGAGTCATATGGCATCTGTTTCAAGGAGTCAGTTCAAATTTACTTATATAAACAAGCTGACCGAGAAATGAATTTGATTGGATCAATGTTATCCAAATTTATTTTATGACGAAAAAAGGCTTCAGATCTCTCCTTGATAAGTGTTCGATCTCCGGAGCCTATGGAATCCCCAAATATCTTTTTTTTTTCTTTCTCCTGCACTTGTGTTTATTTGTAGTATATAAAAATCTTACATTATATTCCAATACTACAAAACAAATTTGAGTCACCACAACCCAATATTATTTACGAATTGATAAGTTATATTAATCAAATTTAGAATGGCATACCAAAAAGTGGTGTAGTGACTAGTGAATTACGTTACATATGGATTAACATGTGCATGCAAATTATACATGTATATATATACAAATACAAATGCACCAATAATTATTCAGAAAAAAAAGAGAGTGTCATTGAAGTAAATACAACATACATGCGCACCAACTGCACAGGCTGTCAATTTGGTAAAATCATACTTCATTGTACGGGTTTTTTTTGTTTTTTTTTTTTTAGCAATAATATAACCCGGTTTCGACTACCAGGTTATAATCGGTTTGGTTGTGCAAGTTACCACGCGAGTGAACACTAAACAAAACCCAACTAGGTCAAAATAATTCCTTTCACCTTACAAATTATACAATGGCAGAAAATTTAACTCGTTTCTTATCCCACATTTATAAGAACCAAATATTAGCTTGATTTGGATTAAACCGGTCAATATAGGTTAACTTCAGTAAGTAATTAGAGCCTAAAAGGGTTAGGTTTATGTGCTTTGCTTGTAAGAGAGGAGACTTTGGACTTTTTAAAAATCAGGAGCAACCTAATTTATATGTTTGGTTTGGTCTCCCCGGTCTTTGAACGAACCTAAAGCTGCCATCTCCATATGTATATATGCCGGGTTCTTGTTAATACGCCTTTGTCAAAAGGTATTTTTGATTTGAGTATATATGAGCTTCTAATTAATTAAGTTCTAACCGCAGTTTTCTTTTGTGTGTGTTACGATAGCTAACATATTTCTACATTTGATGCTGAGTTTATATTTTAAAAACAGGCACAGGCGCATATTGTTTAATAATACTCGAGGAAACTTAAAATTATCAATTTGAGAATTCGATTTTCTAAAAAAAACGAGCAGAGTAGAACTAAAATCATATTTTACCGAATTAACAAGATTAGGTTTTCAGTTTTAATTAATCACGAAAACACGGCCTAAGAGATCTCATTCATTAGAG